ATATGGCGTTCTTCCTTCTTTAAAGGTTTGGTAGAATTCACCAATAAAGCCATCTTTATTGGCCTGGATTTTTCTTTGTGAGAAGGTTTTTAATTACAAATTCTATTTTATTTGTTTGTTTATTTAGTTTTGAAGATTTTATTTATTTATTTCCCACACGAGCAAGGGGAGGGACAGAGGAAGACGGAGAGAGAAGTTCAAGAAGACTCCTTATGGAATGCAGAGCCCAACTCTGGGCTCATCCCAGGACACCGAAATCATGACCTGAGCTGAAACCAAGAGTTGGATGCTTAACTGACTAAGCCACCCAGGCACCCCTACAAATTCTATTTTAAATAGATATATGACAATTTAGATTCTTTATTTTGTCTTGAGTAAGCTGTAGTTTGTGTCTTTTGAGAAATTGATCCATTTCATCTAATTTGTCACATTAATGGACATAATATTATTCATAATATTCTTTTATTGTCTGTAGAATCTGCGCACATGTCCCCTCTTTCTTTCCTGATATTGGTAATATGTGACTCTTTTTTTTTTCCTGATCTGTCTGGCTAAAGATTTGTCAGTATTATTCAATTTGTCAAATAACCAGGCTTTGGGTTTCATCGATTTTCTCTACTGTTTTTCTGTTTTGTTTAATTAATTTTTGCTTTTCTACTTAATATTTCTTTCCTTCTGCTTATTTTGTGTTTAATTTGCTCTTTTTTCTAGTTTCCTTTTTTTAAATTAAGTTTTGCATTCCAGTATTGTTAACATACAGTGTTATATTAGTTTCAGGTATGTTTTTTAGTTTCTTAAGGTGTAAGTATAATTAATTTATTAGAGAAATTTGTTCTTTTATAATATAAACATTTCTGGCTATAAATTGCTCTCTATACAAAACTTCAGCTGCAGACACTTTGTTATATTTTGCTTTTGTTTTCTTAATGAAAAACTTAAATTTCCCTTGTGATATATTATTTGGCTTGTGGGTTATTTAGAAGTCTTTTCTTTAATTTCCAGTATTGATTTCTGGTTTAATTCTGTCATGGTTAGATAATATATTCTTACTGATTTTCCTGACTAGTTGTTCTATCAATTGCTGAAAGAGAAGTGTTAAAATCTCCAACTGTACTTGAATAATTTTTCTATTTCTCTTATCAGTTTATCAGATTTTGCTACATGTATTTTGAAACGCTGTGATTAAGTGCATACATATGTAGGGTTATTATGTCCTTTTGCTGTATTTACCCCTTTATCATTATGAAATGTCCCTCTTGATCTGTTCTCAAGCATTAAGGTGGCTTGATTTTTTTCTCATTTGTTTTCCTTCTCCCAGGTATCAAAGTTAGCTACTGTCTGAAGATGTCTACTGTCTGAAGAACATGATTTTTGTATACTTTATTCCATTTTTTAGTTTAAGTTAAGTCTGGTCCCAGTTGTTTCACCATGGTGAAAAACAAGTCCTTTTGGCACTGGTCATTTTAAATCCACCAATCTGACTTTATTTATTTTTAAAGACTTACTTATTTATTTTAGAGAGAGTGGGGTGGGGGGCTTGTCCCATGACCCCCAGATCATGACCTGAGCCAAAACCAAGAGTCACTCGCTGCCCAACCGACTGAGCCACCCAGGCACCCCCACCCATCTAACTTTAAATCTTGGTGGGACATCATTCTTTCCCTTATGTAGTGTTTATTCATCCTTTTCTTCCATGATCCTCCTCTGGACTGTAGACATTTCTGCATTTTATTCCTGGTCAACACCATGAGAATTAACAATTGGAACAAGTCCATGAACAAAGAAGTGCAGTCAGCATTCCGTAACAGAAGCAGAACCACAGGGATGGTTACATACATTTCATATATATATTATATATATACCTATATTCGTATATGTATTTGAGAGATTTGTAGAAGCTGGTTAAGTAGTCTACATAAATGTAGAAGTGCCATGGCTCAGAGTCCATAGGGCAGATTGATCAAGAAGGGAAGGACGATGGGTTAGAACAAGCTGGAACCCACAAGCGTGAATGGGAGCCCCACAGGACAGACTGAAGTCTGTGTCACTTTGGTGCAGGTGTCCTTCTGCCCTGCTGTCCTTCTAAATGAAGCCGGGGTCCTTCATTTAGACTTAAACACACACGTTTATCCAGGAAAGAGGAGGTTGAAGGAGGATCCAGGGGAAGGTGGGGCAGTGGCATGCCCTCATGAGGAGGTAAGTCAGCAGATGAGTTAGAATGAGCTACAGAATAGCTCCCACTTGACTTCTCCCTCTGAATCCACGGCAAGAATATCTCTTGGGGACCATCTGATCAGAAACATCTAGAAAAGGGAATTCTGGGGAATGTAGTTCAACCTAGCCAAGTTGATATAGATATGAAGATATTGTTTTAGTATTTACATATATAATAGTCAATAGTATACTGTTTTAATTACTATAGATTTATGAGTAATTACATAGATCTTGATATAAATATAGTGCCAGTCTTCCAACTTTGCTATCTTCTTCAGTAGCTTCTTGTTTTTTATGTTGCTACACATTTCCAAATGTGTTTTTAAAACAGTGAGTTAATTTCCATAAAATACATGTTTGGAGGTTGATTGGGATTTTATTGAATCTATTGATCAATTTGGAAATAGTTGCCATCTTGATAAAATTGAGTCAAAAAAATTGAGTCTTTCAAAAAATAAACATAGTGTTTCCCTCCACTTAATGTCCACCAGCAATATTTTGTAGTGTTTAATACAGATTCTTGCACATCTTTTGTTAGATTTATTTCTAGATGTTTAAGGTAGGGCTGCAAGTGAAATATTTGAATTTTAATTTCCACTTGTTATACACATATGCATTTTATATATGGTCTATAGTGAAAAGAAGAAACAAATAATGTTTAATCTTAGCTGAAAGTGGGATCTACATATTACTTCAAATATGAACCAGAGGGACTGAAGAAACAATTTAGTGATAACCCTGCTGCACAACAACACTTATTTACACTTTACCCACTAACATTTAAATAACATAATTGTAATAATGTTTAAAGTGTTGATTAAAATGTCAGGCTTATTTTTGTCCTAGAAGGATGTTTCTTGATTATGAACTTGGATGGTGAATTCATAGAAAAGCTGATGTTGGGGCACCTGGATGGCTCAGTTGGTTAAGGGTCTGCTTTCAGCTCAGGTCAGGATCTCAGGGTCCTGGGATCGAGTCCTGGGTCAGGCTCCCTGCTCAGCTGTGAGCCTGTTTCTCCCTCTGCCTCTCCCCCTGCTCATGCTCTCTCTCTTGCTCTCGCTCTTAAATAAAATCTTAGAAAAAAAAAAGCTGATGTAACACTCAGCCATTCAATACACTTCTCATTTTTTCCTGATACAAAATCATGGGACCCCAGAATGATTTGATTATATTCACCCTTCAGTCATGCATGATACTGTTGTGTGATATGCCCATCTTGTGCCTTTATTAAAAATAGTCATTAAGGGCGCCTGGGTGGCTCAGATGGTTAAGCGGCTGCCTTTGGCTCAGGCCATGATCCCGGGGTCCTGGGATCGAGCCCCGCATTGGGCTCCCTGCTAGGCAGCGAGCCTCCTTCTCCCTCTGCCTCTCTCTCTCTTTCTGACTCTCATGAATAAATAAATAAAACATTAAAAAAATAGTCATTAAAATAATGTGTATCAATTTCCTTGCTTACTATTGAATTCTGCATACTATTCTCTCATCAGGTATAAATTCATATTTAATAATTTCCTCATCACCTGTGTTACATCTTATGTTCAAATTGTGCTTGGGTTTTTATTTCAATGAGCATTATTTTTGAATTAATTGATCTCTTTCAACTTTTTATTTTGACATAATTTCTAATTTATGGAGAAGTTGCAAGAATAGTACAAAGAATTTTCATAAATCCTTCAACTATATTCACCAAATATTAACAATTTATGACATGTGCTTTATTTTCAATAGATAGTGATAGATTTGCACATACACAATTTTTTTCCTTAGGTATTGAGAGTGAGTTTCAGACAAGATGTTCCTTTACCCCTAAGTATTTCAGTGTTTTCTAAAAACAGGAACCTTCTCTTTCCTAACCACAGAACAATTACGAAATCAGGATTAAAACTCTTATTTAATCTACAGACCCTGTTAATGTTTTGCCAATTGTATGGATCCTTTATTTCAAGAAAAATAGATTGCATCTAGTTGTCCTGTCTCTTTAGTCCTCAAATCTGGAAGAGCTCCCCTCTTTGTTTTTCATTTCATTGACATTTATTTAATTTTTTTTTCTTTAAAGATTTTGCCTATTTAACAGGGAGAGCGCACAAGCGGGGCGGGGGGCAGCAAGCTCCCCGCTGAGCAGGGAGCCCGAGGGGGGTGGGGGTAGGGGGGAGCTCGATCCCAGGACCCTGGGATCATGACCTGAGCCAAAGGCAGACGCTCAACCAACTGAGCCACCCAGGCGCCCGATTTCATTGACATTTAAAAAACAAGTTGGTCAGGTATTTTGTAGAATGCCCCCTAAACTTGAGTTTGTCTAATGTTTCCTGAGAGTTAAATTCAGATTATGCGCTTTTAGCAGAAAACCACACAAATGAGGTGGTAACCATCGCAGTTCATCACTGGGAGGTGCGTGATGTTGATTGGCGCGATACTGGAGCTGCTGACTACGATCAGTTGATTAACTTGGTGTGTGCCACGGCTCTCCACGGTCAAATTACGATTCTCCTTTGGTATTACTCATCATATGATTTATGCGTTTCGCTTTTTTTCATTACATTTGGTTGTCTAGGAAAAAAGGTAAAGGAAGAAGAAAGGTAATATGTGAGTGGAAGAACAAGCACGGTTTGTCGGAGCCACGAGATTGGACGGGAAGCGCCACGGGAAGGCCCAGCTCCTGTGGCTTTGCGGCTGGAGGTGAGCGCCACACCTCGGGTGGGACTCCTGCAAACCCAGCCCGGCCTGGGGTCTCACGGAGCTGGCTTTCGAAGTGACAGCCGTGATCTCGCCACAGGGCGCGGGTGGAGAGGAAAATCCCGGTGGGGTTTCAAGGACGGTAGAGAGGCGGCGTCGCCGAGCCCGGCGTTTCGCTCAAACAAAAATTGGTTGGTTGGCTTTCTTTAGTTTCGTGTGTTTCGTTTTTTGCCCGTGAAGGCAACCGTTTAAGAAAACCACCGCAGGACAGGAGCTCGGGGGCAGCAAAGTTACGAGAGACGGAGCAGGGCACTCGGTCACCGGGGTCCCCCTGCAGTGGCGGGACCGGCCAGCGCGCGCCTCCCGGGGCAATCCCAGGGGGTCGGAGAAAAACACGCCGCAGTCGGCAGGACTCGAACCTGCGCGGGGAGACCCCAACGGATTTCTAGCCCGTCGCCTTAACCACTCGGCCACGACTACGTGCGGGCGGGAGCCACGGACGCGCTCCCGTGGAGCTCTGGGGCGACGCGCACCAACCCTCCCGAGCTCCCCGGCCGCGCAACGGAGAAGTCACTGATGGAGGAAAGCGGTCGACCCTGGGGCCCCCGCGACCGCCGGGACCCCCGGGACCCGAGAGCACCAGCGCCACCAGCAGTCCCAGGTGAGTTCAGGTGACCCCTGCCTGCTCCGGGGCCGGCCGGGCGCGCGGGCTTCCGAGCGCAATTCCCGGGCGCCAAACCCGCGGGCGCGCAGGCGCCGGGGCCTCAGGGTCTCCTTCCGCGCGCGCTCCTCCCTGGATGCCCCCGCGCGAGGCGTCCCCGGTGGCGGCCGCTCAGAGTGATGCATCCTCTCGCCAGCATATTGCTAAGCCTTTAGTTTCTTTGGGCCGACGCAGGGGCTACTTGTATTCGAATTTAATCCACGCAACAGGTTTTGTTTTTCCTCTTATATTTCGACCTTAGTTTCTCTGTCACAGTGTTTCCCTGAGTCTTGAAACTGATTTTTGTCTATCCTGCTTAGAAGGTCTTAATCTAATTTTTTAAAGAGGGAGGAGATGGTGAGACGGGGGGGGTGGTGGTGGAGGGAGCGGGGGGGGAGGAGGAGGATGGGGGGAGGGGGGATTGGAGTCGGAAGACAGAGGTTCTAGCGTGCCATCTAAACAGAGGACTGAAGTGTAGCGTAGGCCGCTGTAGCCATAGAACCCGCCGTGGTGGACCATCTGTCCCCAGACGGCTGCTAACACGGCGACAGAAGACAGAGCACTCTTGGAGACACTGAGACCTTCGACAACTTGTCCATCGAGAAGATGCTCCTCAGCGATGCTGACCCCATCCGAGAGGGGCTGTCCGGCTGCCTAGGCTAGCCTGGGTTCGGTCCGGGGTGGGGTGGGGGGGCTGGAGAGCAGCCGGGTCGGGGAGGAAACGGTGACAAAGGAGGGACAGCTTGTCATCGTTTGTCTTTTTGTTTTCTTTGAATAAATGTCACTTTCTGAGGCAAAGATAAATAGAAGGAGGGGGAGAGAGAGGTGAAGAGAAGAGTGAAGGGGTGGGGGGGAGATGAAGGGAGAGTCCTCTCCCACTGAGATGAGATCAACTCTAAGAAACCCCCAGTGTAATGGAGGGGAGTCTGCGTCTGCCCTATTAACCCGAGTTTTGGGTGAAGGAGCCGGACTCCATATTTAACTGAGCAGCTTCATATTTGAACGGCCTTTGCTATCAATCACATAATCATTCTTTAAAAAGCATGACTAAGTGCAAATTTAAAGTAAAATCGAAGTTGTGATATAGATGTTGCCATAATTAGTTATATCATGACAGTTCTATTGGGTCTATGTGGTGTCTGTGGGATTGGATGGGGGCCCCCATATGTGCGGGGACAATCAGGTGGAAGCCGGTGGCGCAGGCGGTGAGGGATTCATCTGAGGTCAGAACAAGGGAGGTAGAAATTTACTGAATACAACATGGCGGGGGGGGGGGTACAAGACAGAAGACGAGAGACTGGCTGCAAGGAGGCAGTGGGTGGGGGCTGTACTCAAAATGGGAAAGTGAGGGGCGCCTGGGTGGCTCAGTCAGTTAAGCTCGCTGGGCTCTTGATCTCAGCTCAAGTCATGATCTCAGGGTCGTGAGATGGAGCCCCAAGGGGCTCCGAGCTGAGCATGAAGGCTGCTTGGGATTCTCTCCCTGCCCCTCCACTCCCCACCCCCATCGCATGCTCTCGCACTCTCTCTCAAATAAATAAATAAAATAAAATTTAAAAATGGGAAAGTGAGGAGGTATGGGGGTGTATGGAATTGTCCCTTGTTGGTAACTGTGCCTGGTTGTAGGTAGCCCACTGGTCAGCTAGGGCTTATGGGTATTTTGAAGTGGGTCACCTGATGGGCCTTCTGCATTCAGCCAGGTGGTCACTGTGGGCCTTTGTGCCTTGACCAAGTTTCCATTGCTCAAACCTGTTGCCTACAGTCTTCACATTTGTAACAAACCTACAACATTTTAAGTAAATTCCTTTGGAACTCTAGTTTGAAGGAAGTTATATACCTAAGAAATAACAGAAAAGAAATGTTTCATGCTTTCAAAAACCACAGGAGAAAAAAAGATGGCTGCAATTAGTATGAACTGAATTTGTTGAATTGATTTTTTTTCTTTCTTACTTAGAATAAAAGTAACAGAGATCCCTGACAGTTTCACCTTTTTTATTTTTCTCCCCATTAACATGTGTGGACTGGGAAAGAAAAGAGGGGGCATAGGACAATAGGTTCAGACAAAAGTGAATTGGAGTTCAGCTGCAGGAAACAAAACCATTCTAGCCATTTTAGTCCCAAACTGGAAACAATCCAAAGTCCGTCAACAAGAGAAAGGGTAAATAATTGGTTTTCATACTAAGGGAGAGTAGAGCAATGAGAAAAAAATGAATGTCAACTGCACACAAATTGGAAAAATCTCACCTCATATTAAAGTGATACCAGACATAAAGACATGCATACCTCATGATTCTATTTATATGTAGTTCAAAGTAGACAAAACAAATTTATGGTGTCAGAAATCAGAAGGGTGATTGTTGAAGGTACTTAGGACTGAGAAAGTCCATGCAGGGACCTGCTGGAGATGCTGAGAATGGCAGTTTCTCATTCTGGGGTGCTGGGGTGCTGGGTACATAGGTGGGTTCACTTTCTGAAAATTTCTTGAGCTGTATAATTACAGTTTATTTTTCTTGCATTGATACTATATAGTATGTCAATAAAAATTTACTTAAAACTTCTCAAGCTATTTTAAACAAAACGGGATTAAAAAAGAATACAGAACCTTATAAAATTTTTGGAACAGAGGGATGGAGGAAAGTGCAAGCTCTAATCCAACCCTGCAGGAATGGTTTCCCAAGAGAGGCTGCTATTGTCTCTACAGCCAAGAAAATAGGAGATTGGGGTGCCTGCGTGGCTCAGTTGGTTAAGCATCCAACTCTTGGTTTCTTGGTTTTGGCTGGGGTCCTGATCTCAGGGTCCTGAGATCAAGCCCCATTTTGTATCAGGCTCCCCGCTCAGCGGGGAGTCTACTTCTCCTTCTTCCTCTGCCCCTCCCCCCACTTGTGCTCTCTCTTTCTCTCAAATAAATAAATAAATCTTTAAAGAAGAAATTAGGAAATTAAGATGCTGCCACTGGAATTGTTGATTTCAGGCATCTGGAGGCTTCTGCAATAGGAGTGTTCTTTCTAAGGCAGTGGTTCTCAAAATGTAGAATGAACATGATTTGTCATGACAGAAAGCAAGTCAGTCAGTGATTTGTGCCCTGATCTTAATTTATAAAGGTGACTGGGTGATGAGAGGTCACTCAGAGAGGAGAGGTCAATACTGAAAGAAAAGTTTAATGTTACAGTTCCCCTAGAAACAGTTTTGAGTTCTCTTAGAAACAGTTCTCCTGAAAACTAGAAACTACCCAGGGTCATGGTGGGAAGCACAGTGTTGGTCAGGAAGCAGAAAAGAGCAAGGGCAAAGCATGAGCCATAGTCTTTATTGGGATTTCCATAGGAAAGGAAAGGCAGGGCAGGGTAAACAGTTTAGGATGGGCTAATTTGAATAATCCCAGTGAGCTTTAGGGGTGTCAGGGCTCTCCCTGGTTGTCTGGTACCTGGCCCTGGACTAATTTAGGGCAGGGAAACATTGGCTTGGTTTGTGAGCGTTAGATAAAGGAGGTGGTCCAGGGAATGGGCTCCGGATGGCAGGAGACATAAAAAAAAAACTCCGGGGTTAATTTGGCCCTGTCTTAGCGGGTACCAAAGAGACAAATACGGAATCTAAGAAAACACAGAAGAGTCAGAAAGTAATTTAAATTTCTAACCAAGTTGCCAAAGGCTGCTGCACCGGGGACCACTCTTTGAGAACCACATGTTCAGGAGCACGCCATGCCTCCTAGATGTGAATTAGCAAAACAGCTGACACCCCTCACTTTGTATTCCTCTGCAGAACATCCAACGCATCCATGATGGTGCTTGGCAGCATGGAGCCAGAAGCTGCCTTATGTCCACATTTGAAGACTCTGAGGCAAAGCATAAATCACACCCAGAACCCTAGTTGCAAGGGAACTAAGGAAATGTACTTTTAACCTTCTTGCCTCTGTAGCACAGGAAGGCTCAGAAGATGGAACTAGATGGTTACTGCTAATCTACCACACCCTATATAGACGGTGAAGCTGACATGTTCTGCCCTCCCAGAGAATTAAAAATAATGCACCAGCATCACACTGAGGGGAAGCTGACGGACACCTTGAAAGGGGTCCTCATTGTCAGTGACCAGCTTTTCAGCCATTGTCCCAGGAGACTTTATCCAGATTCCCACCATCTGATTTATTGCCTGTAGTCTTTTTTTATTATTGATTTTAAGGAGTTCTTTATATTCTAGACATAAATTTTTTTTGCCAAATATGTTTATGACAAATATCTCCTCCCACTCTGTGCCTTTTCATATTGTTAGTGGTGTCTTTGCATGTGTTGAAGTTCTTAAGTTTAAAGAATTCTAATTTATCAATTTTGTTATGGTTATCGCTTTTTCTCCTTATTAAACAGGAAATCTTTGCTAACCCAAAGCTCATGAAGATAATCTCCTGTTTTCCTCTATAGCATTTATTGTTTTAGCTTACATAG